CTGAGTAACACTGAATTGCTCTTACCTTAAAATTAAGCTGAAATGCACCTCTCAGGAACTTCCACTTGTTGGCCTAGTTCAACACCCCCGTGCCACACAGGTAATAACATCAGCAGTGATTACAATAACGAGAATAATAATACAAGTCCATAATCTAAAACCCACAAAGCTCTGAAAACTGAAAGCTTTTATAACTCTTTTGGCAGCAAAAGCTGACCCGAAAAGACTTGTGTTGTTTGCAGTTCCCATCTGTCACCTTGGCATGAAGACCTTGAGCTGCAGAACAGTTGTTGTGCTTGGTGGTGGGTGCTACTTCAGACCCCACCAAGAGTGTCACATAACATACGATCCAGACACCCCACAGGAAAGTGCTACTATTGTAGGTCCAAAGTGGTCAGCTATTGGTCGTCTCTTGTGGCTCAACTGCATGGATTTCTCAAAGCAGCCCCAAGGACTTTAGACATAGGACTTGAAGACCGGTAACCATGCTGAGCACTAACTATGTGACAGGCGCGGCACCAGGCCTGACTCTTAGATTGATATTTTCACCCAAGCCTCCTCAAGGCACCAGATTCCTGGTCTGCCCACATAGGGGTCATCTTCATGGGCTTATCTGAAAGTCCACTTTTCACCATTTGAGCACCTCAGCTTCCTCCCAGTCATCCCCAATGGCACCAAAGGCGTCCCTCTCCTTCCAGCGTTCAAACCAAGATCACTGGCCTCAGGATTTTTTCTTTCTCACTCACCCCAATTCCTGCTCAATAAGAATCATACCTGTTGAACTTCAAAATGTATCCTGTGTCCACTGTTTCTTGTGGCCCTCACTACCACCACCTCATGAAAGCCACTGTCAAGCCTCTCAGAGGCCACTGCAGTGGTCTCCAAGCCGGTCTCCCTTGTCCCTACTGCCTTCAGGATGCTCTCCATACAGCACCCAGGGTGATCTTTCTAATGAGAAATCCAAACCCGCCATCCCTCTGCCCTGCACTTCCCAGAGATTCCCCGCCCCAGCTCACTGAGGAAGAAACCAAATCCTCCCCAGGCCCAGGAGGCCTCTGTTACCACTCTGGCCTCACGTGGAGAGCAGGCTGTGCCCTGCTCTGAGTTACCCCTTGAGGTCTAGAACAGCAGTTTTCAGGCTGTACCTGAACTAGAGTTACTCCATGTGTAAAGCAGGAGTTTGTCATCAGCTACTTCTCTTTTACTTTAGTGCTGAGGCGGAATGATTCTATAGCTTCTTTGTACAAATAGACAACTGCTAACTGCCTAGCAAAACCATAAGGCACAAACTGATAAATAAATCAATCACACTGGTAAAAAATGATCACCTATAAACTTATTGAATGAATCAGAAGCACAAAGGTGTGTGGTTGTACCAAACTCCTATGGGAAAAACCAGGCCCATGAGTTTATTGAGCACACCACACCACTGAAAGAGGTGACCCCCTCACTAGAGGGCCATGAAAGGAGGAGAAGCTCAAGGCTGGACACCGAAAAGGCTTGTGTTGTTTGCAGTTCTCATCTGTCACCATATTTCTAATGTCAATGTATCCATGATGTATGTGCTACCCACCTGTTAGACACTTAGTTGGTTATCAGATAAATTGTCATGGCATCACAGTATTTACATTCAAGTACCTGTTATTTTACTTAATAATGTCCTTAAAGCACAAGAATAGTGATGCTGGCAATGTCATTACAAAATATTATTATAATTGTTTTATTTTGTTATTGTTAATCTCTTACAGTGCCAAATTTATAAGTTCAATTTTGTCATAGGTGCATATGAATAGGAAAAACAAAGTATTTACAGATGAATCCTAATTTACAATGGCTTGACTTACAATTTTTTGATGATGGTGTAAAACCAATACACATTCTGTAAAAATTGTACTTTGAATTGTAGCCTTTTCCTGGGCACAAAGGTAATGCGATACTCTCTAAAGATTCTAGGCAGCAGCAGTGAGCCACGGTGCCACTCAGCCACTCGCTCATGGGGTGAGCAACAGACACCGTGCAGGGTATGGTGTTGCTAAGTTGTGATGTTGGCAAGTCATTAAGCTTAGGGAGGTTTCAACTTTCATCAGGATGTCACCCCATCACAAGCCTCTTCATAAGTCGAGGAGTATCTTCATAGGGTTCAGCATCATCTGTGGATTCAGTTACTCATGGGATATCTTCCAACATATTCCCTGTGGGCCAAAGGGGGACCACTGTGTGAGCTTTATGGACATGGGGAATTTTGTCGATTCTTTCCATTGCTTTATCCCCACTACTTGGAACACTGTCTTGTACCTAGCAGGCGCACAAGTGCACTGCCTCATCATTCAGCTGTAAGCTGTTCACCTTTTGCCTTTGAATCTACTGAGAATCAAGAATGAAAGAAGAAGTACTTGTGGCAACCAAAATAGGTGTGTCTCTCTCACTGAAGGATACACAGATGGAAAGTAGCACGTGAAGAGATACTCAAGGTTATTAGCTATCAGAGAAACGTGAATTGAAACCACAGCGAGATATTAGTACACACAAGCAGAATGGCTGAAACAGAGACTAATGATTACACCCAGTGTCAGAGAAGGGATGTTAGCTCTTTCACGTGTTGCTGGTGAGAAGAAAATGGTACAACCCTCTGGAACAGAGTGTGGCACCTGCCTGCACACTTAAACATGTGGTTACCACATGAATCAGCAATGTCCTTCTTGGGCATTTATACCAGGGAAATGGAAACAAATTTGCACAAAAAGCTATTCATGAATATTCATAACAGCTTTATTCATAATGACCCAAAGCTAAAAGTATCCCACATGTCCTTCAGTGCACAAAGGGTTAACCAAACTGTGGTACATCTAGGCCACAGAATGGAACTCAAGTCATCAAGAGGAATGTCAAGACTGTGGATGTGGTAGAGTACTTGCCTGGCTGGTATGAGGACCTGGGAGTAATCCTCAGCATGAAGAAAGAAAGAAGGAAAGAAAAAAAGAAAGGAAGGAAGGAAGGAAAGGGGGGAGGGAGGGAGGAAGAAAGAGAGAGAGAAAGGGAGAGAGAGAGAAAGAAAGGGAGGGAGGGAAGGAGGAAAAGAAAGGAAGGAAGGAAGGAAGGAAGGAGGGAAGGAGGGAAGAAGAGAAAGAGAGACAGAAACAAAGAAGAAAGAGAAGAAGGAGGAGGAAGAGAGAAGGAGAAGCAGAAGGAGAAATGTTACATTACAATAGCAAAGATGTAGGGAGCTGCAAAGCCCTGTTTCTTAATGCATTTGTTGGACCAAGCATGGGTAAACAAGAAACATGAAAGGTACCCTTTGCCTGAATTCTTTGAAAATATGTTGGAGGCTTATTTCAATTAACGTAGTTATGAGTCTATCGTGTGACATTTACCATGTCAGGAGCAACAGCCATGGGGAAGGAATGTGACCTATCCTTCCATATCTGATAGTCTAATGGGGGTGACATTAAAATAGTCACACCCAGGCCAGTCTGAAGAGTTCAAAGACAGGGGAAGAAAGTGAAGCCGCAGAGGATAAGCATCTCACTCCACTGAAGGAAAGGGACATAGGATGGTTTTCCACACAGTAAAGGAAAGGGCAGCTCAGAGATGTGAAGAGAGAGACTGGAAGCTTCCACAACAGAAGGAACACCATGTGCAAAGTCCAGCTGGTCCCTATGGATCTGAGGACTGCGTCTTGGAAAAGTAGGAAGAGACAGGCTGGACCTGGAGAGGGCCGGGGGTGAGCAGGGCCAGGCCTATAAAGGGTCTTTCCAGGGGACCTGGAGGCTTTGGCTGTGATATGATCAGCAGCTGAGTGGAGGGTGTCGTCAAACTGTCCTCTGACACATGCCCCTGGCCATTCCTCAAGCCTTCTGGTTTCTTCAACCCACCTCTTTGCAAGGTCCACTACGCTCCTCTCCTATGGCCCTTGGAGCTCCAAGGCCCAGTTCCAGCACCACTCCTTTGTCCCGGAAGCCTGCCACACTCCTGCTGGAGTGGGCGCACCAGGCAGGAGCATGTGCAGAGCAGTGACCGTCAGAGCCCAGCCCTGGCTCCAGCTTCAAAGAGGGAATACTCCTACCTCAAATGGCCTTCTCAGGATTGAAGAACCTCACTGATACCTTAACTCAGAGCAGCCACTTAATCAGAGTACCCACTTAATCAATGTTATTCTTTACTACGCTGCAGCCCCGGATACGGCCAGCATGGGCCAGGCGTGTCTCTGGTGGCCCATCAGCCTTGGATGAATCAGGGTGCAGGAGTCAGTGACTTCCCCCACCAACAGCCACCTCTAACTCTGACCTTACACTCTCAGCTTAAATTGAGGGCAACACAGGCTAGAAAAATCCTTTGCTTTCATGGACTCTTGAGTGGTAGGAGCCAGAACCCCAAACCATGACCGTAAGGACTAGGTCATCTTTATCCCAGGAAGGCCCTCGCCGCCCTTCAGAGCCTCAGCATTCCCATCTGTTCCATGGGAGTGACAGCTACCAGGCTCACAGGGACAGAGGGCTTGGCCACCCTTGCCAAGGGAAGGCCCAGGCAAATGGGATCCCCATTCCCCGCCTGCAGGCCACTCACCTCCCCTTCCCTCACTTTCACTTCCAGAAGCCACACACTCCCCAGGCCAGCAGGCTGGCAGGCCTCCAGCCAGGGAGCAGGTATATGTTAATTAGCCACACCCACGGACTTGAATTGTTTTTCTCCCCCTCCAGGGACTTTCCTAACTTCCTCTGTAAACTAAGGAAGGAGCACATGAGCATTCTGCATATAAATATACTTGGGAAAGATTTCTTCTTCTTCTTCTTCTTCTTTTTTTTTTTCTTAAACTGAACTTGGTTTCTGGTGTGGGCGGTGCATTCCCTAGCAGGGCAGGGCGGGCGGACTGCTATTCAGGGGGAGGGGGAGAGGAAAGGGGAGGAGAAGGCCGTGATTAATTCGGCCTGGGTGAGAGCTGCTCTATTTAATGGGGGGTTCGGGCCCAGGAGGAGTTAGAGACGCCTCCAGGACAGAGAAGCATGGCAGAAGATCTGGAACTGGGCTTCGGGGAAACAGCCAGCGTGGAAATGCTCCCCCAGGACGGCAGCGGCGGGCCCAAGGCCAGAGCCAGGCTGGTAGCCAGGAGGGATGGCGCGTGCTGTGCCTTTACCGGCTGCCTGCTCGCCTTCCCCATCCTAGCAGGACTTACCGCCTACCTGCTGGTCAGCCAGCTCCAAACCCCAGGAGAAGACTGCACACCTGTCCAGGTAAGAAGCCCCACTCTGGCCTGGGAGTCAGGGGACCCTCTGCCAGCAGCAGCCCAGTTGCACCCAGAGCTCCTGAGTGCATCGCATTTTTTTTTTTTTTTATTTTTTGCTTCCATATGCAAAGGAAATACAGAACTGCAGGGAGGAAAGTTCATCCTGGTTTCTCTCCTCGCTATTTCCAGGGATCAAATGGACACTTCTTATATTTATATGGGAATAACTTCAAGCTCCGTGTGTTTAGGTGACAATAATTATAGCAGACGTATATCTTGAAAGCATTCCTCTGCTTTACAAAAAAAAAAAAAAAAAGGCACAGTGACACATGCCTGCAATCCTAGTGGCTCCTGAGGCTGAGGCAGGAGGAGGGCGAGTTCAAAGCCAGACTCAGCAACTCAGTGAGACCTGTTCTCTAAATAAAATACATTAAAGGGCTGGGGATGTGGGTCAGTGGTTAAGCACCCCTGGGTTCAATCCTGGGTGCCAAAAAATAATAATAATAATTAAATTTTTAAAAAAACTCTTAAATACAGTCCTTGCAAAAAAAAAATTTAGAAATCACAGATAAGGAAATAAGGAAAATGATCGTTGTGCATAAACTCTTAGAGATGACAACTGTTAATAGTTTGAGCAATATAATTCATATTATTTTTGAATAGAATGGGATTATTCTGAGTTTTCTAGTATATCATGATTTTATTTATATGATGATAAGTTCACAGCTGCCTGATAATGTGGATGACCGTATTATCTTTAGATATGTGTGTGCTATAATTTATTTAACCAACTCCCTTTCTTGAGTTTAGAAAGATTGATTTTTTTAATGGTCAGCAAAAAACAAACAAACAAAAAAAAAAAACTCCTGCTTGATCTTCTCCCTGTAAGATCTTGTTGAGGGCTTTAGAGAAACTTAGTAAAAATGAACATAGACTCTAGGGCTTTCCGGTGATGGGGCGGGGGTACAGGTGTCTAGGAGAACATGAGCAATCTGGACTAGAAACATCAGAAAACTACCTGAAAGCCTAAGGAATGTTATCAAAGAAATATCAATTTTAAAATAAGCACCTGCACAATCCATGATAGCTGATTTAACTACAGTCCAAAGTATTAAATTCTCAAGGAGAAAATAATTGGTTTAAACGGCAACCTGGTCTCTCAGCAATCCCGGCCAGCTGCCAAGCAGAGGGCAAGCTGTGGCTAATGTGTAACGCTCGCTGCTCCATCAGGGTCAACAAATAGGCTGTGATTCAGACAGCAGCATTCTTGGCCACCTGCCATTGCTTGTAAAATGTGGAAGCATGCAGACAAGCCGGAAATGCTTCTGAGATTGGAGAGCAGCAGGGCACAGGCAGTCAGGCGGTGACCCCTGGACCACCAGGCTGGTCCCTACGAGAAGCCAAACCACAGCACCCATTGTGTGCACCAGGGCTCTCTCCAGCCAGCAGGTTTTCTAGGAGGAGACACCCAGTGACCTCCGGCCACCTGCACGCTCCTTGATTCCAAAGCGAACCTCACAGCACGGTGGCATCCCACCCCTACCCTCCATGCTCATGTCTGTGATCCCCCACCAGCAAAAACTAGAGGGCTTTGTCCATCTAGAAGACCACAAAGTGGATGCCACTGTCTAGGGAAGTGAGCTGGGGACAGGAACTCTCACTAGATAGGAAGCCCCTTTAAGGAAGGTGCCAAGCCCCGGGGTTTGTTCCACACTTGCCCTACCCAGGGCTGGAGAAATGAACCAGGCTGAGACTGTCCCCTTTGTTATAGGGAAACCGGCCTTTCTGGAGAATGAACACGTGGGGATGTTTGGGGCTGTCACTTGGCCAGGCTTTGGAATTTAGTGCGTCAGAGGAAAGAGAGAGGGAAATAGGGGTGAGGCTGGGGCACATGTAGCAATCAGGATCCTGAAAAGCCACAGCTGGTCACTCGGAGAAGAGCATTTAAAGGAGAGTTTGGAGGGGGTTAAAGAAGAGCCTGTTTGCTGGGGAGGCACAGACTGAAGGAAACCAAAACAGAGGAGGGGTTGGCGGCAGCAGGAAGCCACCAACCTACCACCCCTTACCATGGGGATCTGTGGGAGAAGTAAAGCCAGGAGAGGGTCTTTCTGGGGGCCTGCAGAGTAGGGAGACCCCAGTCAAAGCAGCACAGAGGGGATGGACGGAGTAGGGAACGCTGGCAGCTCTCCTCTCCAAGCCTCTGATCCCACTGACCAGACTCAACTGGAAGCCAGAGCTCCAAGAAGCCAGGGAGCAGCCATGCCCAGAGGCCAGCCTCAGCATGCACAGAGCAAGAACAAGAAGGGCAGAGGGCAGGTGTGCAGGGACAGCCAAGCGGGAGGTGGATGAAGATGGGAATGAAGACAGGAAAACCCACTCAAAAGATGACTGTTAGATACCTGGACTTGAAACCCAACCCCCCTGCTTCTAGCCATGTGAAGACAGCCACATGGCTTCATTTCTTTCAGCCTGTTTCCTTTATTTCCAAAAAGGGGTGTTACTGTCAACACCCTGACAGTTTCAATGAGGCAGGCGAAGAGCATCTCCCGTTGGAATGGGGCAGAGCTGCGTGCACACGGCTATTGTGATGGGATCATTGCTCTGTGTCAGACACTGGACAGTCACCAGAAAATGATCTGGGGCCTCAGGAGCTTCAAGTCTAGTGCACAAACAAGGAAAGGGGCTATTTCAGAGCAGAGATCCCGTGGGTTCCAGATACCCTCCCAGCCCAGCCACAGACGTACAGTGGGGCAGGGAAGGCTTCCTGGAGAAAGGAAGAGGGTCACCTGCAGCTAGGAGACTGTGCCTGAGGTCCAGTCCAGGACCCCATTGCACATAGAGCCAGTCAGACAATCACAGGCCACTGGGAGTAGGCCTTTGAAGGTCATCCAGCCCAAAGCCTTTTGTTTTGCAGATAGGGAAACCCGAGACCCAGAGAGATGAAGGGATTTGCCAGAGGCCTCTGCCTCTAGTCAGTGGCAGAACCAAGATTTAAAACCAGCCCATCTGCCCCTACTGTTCTTTGCATCGGGCAGCAGAGTTCATGCTGGACCAGAGGCAGACTGCCAGCCACAGGGAGGATGACGTCAGCAACTCCAGGGAGAAAGGAAAGCAGCCACAACTTCTCTCAAAACCCACTGCCAGCCCCCAGCACAGGCTGCACATACCAAATCCAAGGCACCCCCAGAATCACCCACCCAGCACTCCTGGCCCAGGAGCAGGATCAGAGGGGTAGCCTGACATGCTCCTGGTGTGGAAACTGAATTAAAAGCAAAACCTCCCAACTTAGAAATCCCCTCTCCAAAGGCAGCCAAGAAAGAAGATGCCTGTATTATTGAATAAGCATCAAACTAGGATGTGATGCACACCACGGGCAATCTGCTAAGGATCTGCAAAGCCAGGAAGAAATCACCCTCTATGTAAATAGACAGGCAGCTGAGCCATCCCCTGCAAGTGAAGAGTGGAGTGCATCACAGCATCACAGCATCTCAGCACGCATAGCAGGGGATACTTCCTTTTGATGAAAGAATTCACACGTGCAAATGTGTTCACAAAGGCATAAAAAATTTTACGAAGAGCTCAGAGATCAGTACCTGTTAGCATGTGGGGAACTGGGTGTCTGGGCCACAGCAGGAGAGGGACATGGATAAACCGATATTGCTTTGTAGTAATTGTATGTGTTGCCTACACAAAGAAAGATTGGGGTGGTAAAAATGTTTTAGGATCTTTAAGCTTCTGGAACATTCTAGGCAAATTTGCATCTTGGGAAGATCGTCAATCAAAAGTTAAAACCCAGTCTGAATTCTGGTCTAGTTCTTAATGTTTCCTAACCTCCCTGGGCTGCTTCTTTATGTATAAAATAGAAACATGTGTAAAATAGACAATTAGAAATAAAGCACTGATGGTGTCCTGGATTAGTAGGATTGACCTTTATGACTGGGGAACTTCCCCAGTTGAATGATGACATCATTGACTTCCCCACCCGCCTTGGAATTTGACCTCACAAGCTGGAGAGCAGGTTTGGATGCTGTAAGGCTTTTTTCTTGGTCTCTGATATTCATGAGCTGTCTTCATACCTCCCGCCCCAGCCCAGTCTTGGCCCAGTACCACATGAGCCCGCTGTACTTCAACCTTAGTCCAGGGATTCTTTAAGGCTTTTGTTAGCTTCCACCGCCCTGAGGATGTGTCCACAGGCCCCACTCTGACCGACAGGTGCCCTAAGGCCAGGCCTCCCTCTTTCCTGGGCACACAGTCTATACTCCAAGAAAACCTGACCACATCAAGGCTGCTTAGCCCCAAGCTCCAGCAAAGAATGGGCAGTCAGTCCTGTGCAGTGAGTCCTCAGAGATGCTGCAGGAAGCCTGCCTGCCCAGAGCTGCGCCCCTGCCCATCCCTTCCTGGAAATCCTACTAGGGTCCGTATACCCCTTCCCCTTGCCATCCTCTTGAGACCCTCTGATCTCCACTCAGACCAACAAGGCTCCATTGTGATGCCAGCTCAGGCTTCAGAGTCACACCAACTGGGGAAGCTGGGAAAGCCGTGGCTCACCACACCATAGCTGTGACCTCTGAGTATTTCCTATGCACCAGACACCATGCTCAATTTTTTCATATTTAGGATTTTAAGAAGAGTAAATAAGATCATGCCTATAAAGTGCTTGGTGTGTTACCTGGCATATAAACACACCAACATATGTTATTATTACTACACCCATCATCTCAGTAATCTTTGATATCACACAATAAGTTCTACTGTTATCCCCATTTCAGATATGATGAAACTTAGAGAAGTTAAGCAATGTGACCAAAGTCTTAAAGAATGGGACACTGGAATTTAAACCCACTGTATATTTTCCTCCTGAACACTATGCTCACAGGGTGCTCACCTCCTGAGGTGACCAGATTTAATCCTGAGAAATCTGGCACATAGTAAGTGCTCAATAAATGCTAGTTCCCTTTCCTTCCCTAAGAGTACCTAGGATATCTGGCATGCAGACTGCACTTATTA